CATCATACGTATCTAATACTGCAGTTCAAAATATATGAACTTCATATATTCATTGCATCTCATTTATCACTTTCACGGGTTTATTACGAATCAACTTAACGGCCTGCTCCCAGTTGGCTTGTTAGCTCAATTGGTAGAGCGCTGCACTAGTATCGCAGAGGTCAGTGGTTCGAGTCCCGTACAGGCCTGATTTTTTTCAGGTCTGATTTTCGCTATTGCATAAATAGCGCTATCTACTGCGAGGATCGTGCATCATACGTATCTAATACCGCAGTTCAAAATATATGAACTTCATATATTCATTGTATCTCATTTATCACTTTCACGGGTTTATTACGAATCAACTTAACGGCCTGCTCCCAGTTGGCTTGTTAGCTCAATTGGTAGAGCGCTGCACTAGTATCGCAGAGGTCAGTGGTTCGAGTCCCGTACAGGCCTGATTTTTTTCAGGTCTGATTTTCGCTATTGCATAAATAGCGCTATCTACTGCGAGGATCGTGCATCATACGTATCTAATACCGCAGTTCAAAATATATGAACTTCATATATTCATTGTATCTCATTTATCACTTTCACGGGTTTATTACGAATCAACTTAACGGCCTGCTCCCAGTTGGCTTGTTAGCTCAATTGGTAGAGCGCTGCACTAGTATCGCAGAGGTCAGTGGTTCGAGTCCCGTACAGGCCTGATTTTTTTCAGGTCTGATTTTCGCTATTGCATAAATAGCGCTATCTACTGCGAGGATCGTGCATCATACGTATCTAATACCGCAGTTCAAAATATATGAACTTCATATATTCATTGTATCTCATTTATCACTTTCACGGGTTTATTACGAATCAACTTAACGGCCTGCTCCCAGTTGGCTTGTTAGCTCAATTGGTAGAGCGCTGCACTAGTATCGCAGAGGTCAGTGGTTCGAGTCCCGTACAGGCCTGATTTTTTTCAGGTCTGATTTTCGCTATTGCATAAATAGCGCTATCTACTGCGAGGATCGTGCATCATACGTATCTAATACCGCAGTTCAAAATATATGAACTTCATATATTCATTGTATCTCATTTATCACTTTCACGGGTTTATTACGAATCAACTTAACGGCCTGCTCCCAGTTGGCTTGTTAGCTCAATTGGTAGAGCGCTGCACTAGTATCGCAGAGGTCAGTGGTTCGAGTCCCGTACAGGCCTGATTTTTTTCAGGTCTGATTTTCGCTATTGCATAAATAGCGCTATCTACTGCGAGGATCGTGCATCATACGTATCTAATACCGCAGTTCAAAATATATGAACTTCATATATTCATTGTATCTCATTTATCACTTTCACGGGTTTATTACGAATCAACTTAACGGCCTGCTCCCAGTTGGCTTGTTAGCTCAATTGGTAGAGCGCTGCACTAGTATCGCAGAGGTCAGTGGTTCGAGTCCCGTACAGGCCTGATTTTTTTCAGGTCTGATTTTCGCTATTGCATAAATAGCGCTATCTACTGCGAGGATCGTGCATCATACGTATCTAATACCGCAGTTCAAAATATATGAACTTCATATATTCATTGTATCTCATTTATCACTTTCACGGGTTTATTACGAATCAACTTAACGGCCTGCTCCCAGTTGGCTTGTTAGCTCAATTGGTAGAGCGCTGCACTAGTATCGCAGAGGTCAGTGGTTCGAGTCCCGTACAGGCCTGATTTTTTTCAGGTCTGATTTTCGCTATTGCATAAATAGCGCTATCTACTGCGAGGATCGTGCATCATACGTATCTAATACCGCAGTTCAAAATATATGAACTTCATATATTCATTGTATCTCATTTATCACTTTCACGGGTTTATTACGAATCAACTTAACGGCCTGCTCCCAGTTGGCTTGTTAGCTCAATTGGTAGAGCGCTGCACTAGTATCGCAGAGGTCAGTGGTTCGAGTCCCGTACAGGCCTGATTTTTTTCAGGTCTGATTTTCGCTATTGCATAAATAGCGCTATCTACTGCGAGGATCGTGCATCATACGTATCTAATACCGCAGTTCAAAATATATGAACTTCATATATTCATTGTATCTCATTTATCACTTTCACGGGTTTATTACGAATCAACTTAACGGCCTGCTCCCAGTTGGCTTGTTAGCTCAATTGGTAGAGCGCTGCACTAGTATCGCAGAGGTCAGTGGTTCGAGTCCCGTACAGGCCTGATTTTTTTCAGGTCTGATTTTCGCTATTGCATAAATAGCGCTATCTACTGCGAGGATCGTGCATCATACGTATCTAATACCGCAGTTCAAAATATATGAACTTCATATATTCATTGTATCTCATTTATCACTTTCACGGGTTTATTACGAATCAACTTAACGGCCTGCTCCCAGTTGGCTTGTTAGCTCAATTGGTAGAGCGCTGCACTAGTATCGCAGAGGTCAGTGGTTCGAGTCCCGTACAGGCCTGATTTTTTTCAGGTCTGATTTTCGCTATTGCATAAATAGCGCTATCTACTGCGAGGATCGTGCATCATACGTATCTAATACCGCAGTTCAAAATATATGAACTTCATATATTCATTGTATCTCATTTATCACTTTCACGGGTTTATTACGAATCAACTTAACGGCCTGCTCCCAGTTGGCTTGTTAGCTCAATTGGTAGAGCGCTGCACTAGTATCGCAGAGGTCAGTGGTTCGAGTCCCGTACAGGCCTGATTTTTTTCAGGTCTGATTTTCGCTATTGCATAAATAGCGCTATCTACTGCGAGGATCGTGCATCATACGTATCTAATACCGCAGTTCAAAATATATGAACTTCATATATTCATTGTATCTCATTTATCACTTTCACGGGTTTATTACGAATCAACTTAACGGCCTGCTCCCAGTTGGCTTGTTAGCTCAATTGGTAGAGCGCTGCACTAGTATCGCAGAGGTCAGTGGTTCGAGTCCCGTACAGGCCTGATTTTTTTCAGGTCTGATTTTCGCTATTGCATAAATAGCGCTATCTACTGCGAGGATCGTGCATCATACGTATCTAATACCGCAGTTCAAAATATATGAACTTCATATATTCATTGTATCTCATTTATCACTTTCACGGGTTTATTACGAATCAACTTAACGGCCTGCTCCCAGTTGGCTTGTTAGCTCAATTGGTAGAGCGCTGCACTAGTATCGCAGAGGTCAGTGGTTCGAGTCCCGTACAGGCCTGATTTTTTTCAGGTCTGATTTTCGCTATTGCATAAATAGCGCTATCTACTGCGAGGATCGTGCATCATACGTATCTAATACCGCAGTTCAAAATATATGAACTTCATATATTCATTGTATCTCATTTATCACTTTCACGGGTTTATTACGAATCAACTTAACGGCCTGCTCCCAGTTGGCTTGTTAGCTCAATTGGTAGAGCGCTGCACTAGTATCGCAGAGGTCAGTGGTTCGAGTCCCGTACAGGCCTGATTTTTTTCAGGTCTGATTTTCGCTATTGCTTAAATAGCGCTATCTACTGCGAGGATCATGCATCATATGTATCATGGTAATCTCTCGCTAATGCTAGACCCCTTGATGCCACGACTTCAAAGGTCACGTCTAAGAAGTTAACTAAAGTGAGATCCGGCAGAAAACTGTAGAAGCCACATTCCCGAAAACCCGTCTTCAAAACTAGGAATGAAACCATGTTAACCACTGTAAAACGGTGCAAACCTCTTAGCTTTAAATTTCAACACAAAGAGAAGCAAGACAAGCGTTACTAATAACACGCATTTTTACAACCGGTGTTGATTACGGGAAAACTCATTAAGGCCAATTTTAATAAGATCAAAACTATTTCCATGAGCTTGCAAAGATCTATAAGCTAGATAACGACGTTTAGCAGTCCATTCTCTTCTGTTTAGACGCTTTCCTTAATTTGTTGCTGCATGCTTCCTAAACATTTGCTCAACTTCGACTTCTTTCTGTAATCCACAATTTTATTCTGTCAAACGCATCTTGGCTCCAATCAAAACACAAAGGACGCAGTTCACAGGATTGCGAGCGTTTGAAATCTTTCGCGACAAGATGTTATGATCTCTTGTTTCGTGCTCATTACATGACAGGTATATCAGGCATGTGGTACGTAGAATTGTTCGTCTTTCCCAACCTTTTCATTGCAAACTTTCGTTCGGTACGAAACTTCGAAGAAATATCGCTCTTTGTTCTAGCGAAATGACGCGAATTGCAGGTGACGATCTTTACGCGAATTCGAAAGTGCGATGAAAATTCAAACGAAATTCGGCGATTCTCGTCTGCATTACTTTTGCACAATACTGTTTGTGTAATGCATTTGAAATTGCAACATGCAGGCTGCTTATCTTAGAGGGGAATCCTTGTTTACAATATTTGCCTCATTAGCATAAGCAATTCAGTTTCTGATGGAGCTAAAAATAAATGAGTTCTGAATATCGAAAGGTCAAAGTACGATTAACTCGGCCAATGAATACGAGCCTGATGAATTGAATACTTTTTGTGCAACACGGGTTTAAAAACTCAAAATTTTACATGGAATGTATGAGCTCATTAGCGCTTATGCCACCCAGAAAATTTTGCAGTTTTTGATGGACTATTTCTCCTTGAATGTTACACCCAAAGAGCTAAAAATTTCACCATGTACTTAGGTTTTCTAGCTCTTTAGCTGCCTGAAGTCAATTTGTATCTAACATGCTTCCTTCTTTACGCAAAGCCGTATGCAAATGAGCAAAAATGTAAACAATGACGTCACCATGAATCCGCCCATAGAAACGTGTTAACTGGCGAAGTTCGTTATCGGGTTCTTTATAGCTTGGGGGTAGAGCATCCGACCACGATCTGAATCTTAACATCTTTGTTTCATTATTTGCGTCGTGTGATTTTTTTGTTGTTATTTTCTAGGCTTGGATGTCCCGTTAATAACCAAGACAGTAGTCGAGTGCATTCGAGGAAAGGTAAGAAATTGTGCTGCATTCAATACGAACTCTCTGATAACAACCCAATCCAACAAACAGTGAACCTGAAAAGTAGTAACTACAAAAACAACAGGAAATGCAGAAAACGGAAGTAACTGGAGTCGTTTTGCACTGTTTTACTGCGAACTTTTGACAGGAGTACATTAATATTCATTTTTTAGGAAGAATTTGCGATCGAAAAAGGCATGTCGTCCGCTCTGGAAGCTGCTACTACAAAAGTAAGTAATTCCTCACCGAATGTTATTCTTATGTGAGCCTCCTAAAGCAAAATTAACTCATCGTTTAGTTCTACTTGTTTCATCGTGATTATACTCCACTTATGTCGCTTGTAAATTTTACACACAACAAGGACGGATAGTACATTTTTCAAAGAATAGTCTTGTTTTGGTGTAACAGGAGGTTCGGATTCATTCGAACGATGTAGAGAAGGTCAAGTACGAGATCTATATCTGTTTTGTTTTTGTAGGAGGACCGCAGAAAGATAGAAGCCATTGAATGGTTGGTGTTTGAGCCTTCCCAGCGAAGTGAAGCTCTTAAACAGAGTAATGCGATTATACGTTGCTTTATCGGTAAGTTTGCTACTAAATTATAATCCTCCTCGATATAGCTTAAATGTAGCTAATGTTGGGAGGATATGTTTACGCACCAAAATACTGAAATTTACTCGCGCAGAAGGTTTTTCAAATTGCGTGGTGTTCTCCGAGTTCCGTAGGGGCGAAAAAGAATTCAAGCAATGACCAAAACGTCCGCTCTTATCATATGTTTGATCAAGTTATTTATTATTCCACTTTATTATATGGCTGTGTCTCACAAGGAATGGGAACTACCGAATTCACGAATTTGATTGGCTGAAATCAATATTGAAAGCGGTCTAGATTTTCCCATCTAGACCGGCATTTAGACCGGTCTAGAATAAAAAGGTACAAATAATATAAAAAATTGGCATATAAGACACAGCCATATAATAAACATCTTATTAACCGAGTTAGGTCGGTCTGTATGGGAGAATCTTGACCTCGGCCGCTGGTACAGACCTCACTGCGTTCGGTCTGTACTGGCGACCTCAGTCAAGATTCTCCCATACAGACCTCCCGCTCGGTTAATAAGAACTAAGTTCTATTTCATTTTTATGTTTTTTCTGTCTGCGTAAGAGCTCCTACGGTCTTCTAAGAGCATCATATCGATCGCGAAAGACGAAAACATTATAAGCAAACCCATTTTTAAAAGTGAATAAAGGCTGATAGTTTCGAAAGAAACTGTTTGGGGCTGCTTCGGTGGGAGTAACGAAATAATTTGGATATATCAACAAAGTTGAAATGGTAAATTGGCCACCGTAACGATTACAAAAGCTGACGTTTCGAGCGTTAGCCCTTCGTCGAATTCATTTTTAAAAGTGTTCTTTGTGACCAACAAGAAAGTCTGATACGCGCTGAAGTTCTTTCCCTAAATGGTCAAGTCTGAATTGAGAAAAATAAATTGTTTAGATGGTTCAGTGCAGCCATTTTGTTGCTTCGCTTTCCGTCCATATTTTTGCCTTCTTCAGTAGTACACCGTGGCATATTTTGCGCGTTCCGCTGCCCTAATATGGTAAATTGGAATTGTGGTTGAATAATAAGTGGAAGTATTGTGTTCATTTCTTTTAAGCAACGAGAAAGCACGCCGCAGCTCGTGAGGTTTTCCAAAAGATTCCGGTGGACTCCATTCACGTAATTCATAAAGAATGGCAATTGAGGGTAAGTGTGAAACTTAAATTGCAATCCCAGAAGTGTCTCATTGTTATCATCCTTATCGATTGGAAAATTTTTGGGGGTAACATTAAACAATGACGACTTCCATTTGACAAGATTGAGGAATCAAGTTTAGCTTTGTACAGTCGAACCTCCCGTAAGCGACTAAACGAAATGTAAAGTCTTGGTGATCGCTCGCGGGAGGTGGTCAGGTCACAGGGTTCCATATTTCAGGTAATTTTCCGACTGGACCTTTTCGCCAACGCTTAGGGGAACCTGTAGTACAAACCTTTAGCGGCTTACTCAAGAAAAACATCCTAGGATCTATGGTGACTGTTTTGTATATCAACAATTACTTCATACAGGTGTCATAACCTATGAAAACAGCGAAATAAGCGACCAGAAATTCTCGCTCCAGTAAACCTTTGACGTGCTGACCAAGTTATCGCTATTATTTTGTGTCGTAATTGATCGTTTCATTTAAAAGTGATGTGCAATTAAATTGTTTCTTCGAATAGTAGAAACGCGGTAGAGAAAAATGAATGCAAAAATAAGACACTGATCAGCAAGGGTTGAGCATCAATGTATTGAAGTTGCTTTGAATTAACACTCAATCCGTCAACTGTCAAGACGTATTTACCAAATTATCCGTACTATTTCGCCTGGTAATCATTAAACTACGACTCAAAACCTGTATGAACGAATTTTATAAGCGCGGAAGAGGACAGGTAAAGCGAAATTGAGACAAAGCTGTGAGGTATTCTTCGTGAAGTTGTTGTAGGTGCGTTAATTTTAATTAAAGAGGTGAAAAAAAACACTTGCTGTTGACTGACTTTTTAACTCTGGGCTGCCTATCATATTATGGTGTCATATAGGTTTCTTATAGCAAAACAGAAACTAAGTTATCCCTTCAATGGAAAGAAAAAAAAAATAAAAAAGCATCCCTATCCCCCCCCAGAAAAAAAAGTAGAAAGAAATGAGTTACAGTAATAATAATGATACTGATGGTAATGGTAATAACACTAAGCAATGTATCTTAATTTATGCAATATTTCCATATAATCCCTTACATCTTACATTTACTGGTTAAAAGGAAACAATCGCGAAATCCACTTTTGTAATTCCCTGGAACTGCTTTCGCTCTTGTACCTCGTGACTTACTCCTGAAGTGACTTACTCGATAACTGTGTGTTTGATGTCTAGCAGTGGTAACAAGAAAGTCCCTCAAGCCCCTTTTGTTAAGTGTAGACACCTTTTTTATTCTTCAATGACCTTTTGAGAACTTGTTTGTATCTCCACTTTCACCAGGGTGGAACCAGTCCCTTGCCTGCTGCTGACGATAATGCCATACGAGAATATTTGTGCATCAAAGCTTTCTTGGTGAGGATCTTTAGTATACCATAAAGCTGCGGCCCTTCACACTCCAATTGATCAGGGCAAGCAAAAGTATTGCGCGCCCTTGTCATCTAAAGTTGATAAACCGGAGTCGCTAATGAAATAGCGTATAAATGATAACCGATTAAGGGCAAATTCGGATCCTACAGTGAGTTACCTCATCTTTCGTTAAGTCTAACAGAGAGCATATCAATTGAACTGCAGGAGGCTCTTGATGCATTTAATGACTGGTTTCAACATTTTCATCACAATGTACCAGTAAGTCAAATTCTCTGTTCTTGCATGTTCTCTGCTGGCTTTCAAATTGACATTAGGTTCTTACAATTTAGGTTGCTTTTTTGTTGTTGTTGTTGTTGTTTCCTTGTTTTTCGTTCAGCCGAGACCACACGATGGTGCTCACGCGAACTTCACTGAGAAGGTGGCGTATGAACAACGCCTCAAGCAGTACGAGGTAATCGAAAACTCTCTGAACTTGTTTATCTCTAGTTGACTGTCAGTGGTAGCCACCGAAACTGAGCACCACTCCAACATATACTACTTTGTGGAATGTGTTTGAATCTAAACAAGATTTAGAAAGAAGTTATGGCAAGCCTCAACTCGTCGTTCACGCCGCTCTCCACAGAAAATGAGATACAGAAATGAATAAGTAGTTGATTGATTGTCGATTTGCATACAACAGGTGGAATTTGGAAGATGGAAGAACTCGCTGGATATTCACACAAAGGTAGGACAGCTGTTTTGTGTATTGAATATTGCCTCTTTCACTCGGTATTTTTAAAACAAACTTTTTTTTTAATGTGTTCGTTTAGGCCGCAATGGAAAAGATTTATAACGTTCTTCTATTTCCGGATGGAGGCTGGATGGTGGACCACAGAACGGTAAGAATGCGTTTGCTTATTGCTGTTAACTACGGCTTTGATCAGTTCATTTAAGGAGCAGTTATCGGATGAGGAGAAGCATGATATCATGAATTATTATACATTGTAGTCACCATCTGTCTTCTCATTGGCTAAACGCCCACAGTTAATTCTGGGAAACAGCACAACCTACAGATTATTCACTAATCTGTACCTACAGATTAGTGAATAATCTGTAGGTTGCGCGTGCAGTGCATGATTTCCGGTGGAGCAATGTCAAGTTAACGGACAGCGAGGTAAGAATGGCTTCTCGATTCGCTTCATCGACCCAGCGAGAAATTGAGAAATTACTTGAAGATAAAGATTCGGAAAATACTTCGACAAAAGTGGCGAAGGAACTATTCTACGAGTACCTTAGAGAGAAAAATATCCAGGAGCCACACGACAAAAAGGAATTAGCCGAAGTGAAAATGTGTTTACCACACAGTTGTACATTTTTAAGTGTTCGAAAATAAACTGTGTTCGCAGCGATAATGCGTTTGGCCTTATTTTCTTTAAAACAAGGTATAATAAAACAATTATTGGTTCGGTTTTTGTGATATCCGGAATAATCAAGGTCTCGGTTAGTGTTATCAGCCTCTGCCTTCGGCTTCGGCTGATAACGCTTACCTCGACCTTGATTATTCTGGATATCACAAAAACCTCATCCAATAATTGTTCATTATCAATGTCGAGGTCTGAGTTATCTGCCGAAGCCTTTAACACAGACACCAGGTTTGATAATACATAATATCATGCGAAAACCAAATTCAATAACTGTTTTATAATTCATTTTTTCATTGATCTGAAAAAGATCCTTAACTCTGAGTTTGCAAAAGTTTTGAGAACACCACATGGATGAGGGGCGTGGAAACTTGGCAGACTTTAACCTTGACATGATAACCAGATATCTGCTGCAGATTTGGGTCATCATGTCAACTTCACACACTATTGAATATGAATGAATTTTGAGGTCGAAAAAAAGGGAAGTGCAACTTTTTGTTTTCTACGTCTAACTTAGATTTGGTCTCTTTTATTAATTGTTAACAGGAAGAGCGCAAATAGTTTGAACACTCCACTTAATCCTAGGGAAATTTTACCTAAGGAAACGCGATAAACGGGATTATCTCTTTTTTTTTCTTTCTACTGAAACCGAAGTTTATTTCTAGTTTGGCGTATCGCTTGCACTGAAGAATGATAATCCTTTTCATTAGCCTCGGCTCTCTAGAGTGTCAGGTGTCAGAGCTTGAATAGGAAAATTAAAGAAAGGAGTTTACTACTATATTGCTTTTGTTTTGTAGGATGAAGGAAAAGACTCGCAACGATCCCATCAACTTGATTTGTTGAGACAGCTTTGTCTTCCACTAACTTGTTACCTTCTTCATAATGTGCTATACTCAACAGAACAGTACAAGCAGGTACTTTTTTGTCTTTTCTTCTCTGAAGACATCAAGCGGTCTTGCGGGCAACTTATAAATGATTGTTATTTTGCAGTGTATACAGCTCGCTGATGTTATATCCTCCGAACAATACAGATTGTATGAGGTATCGTCTTTTTTTTCCTTAGTCGTCCATGCTTAATCAGTCTAGGAAAAAATTCCGCTCAAACAAAGAACAATGAAATTCAATTTTCTCTAACATACTTTTAACTGTCCACACAGCTTTCTGTCAGTTTCCGAACTTTTTTCTTTGCCACCTCACTAAAATTGCTATTTATTACGAGAACTAATTTCCTTGTTGAAAAAGTCATAACCCATGATGGTAGTGTGATCTTACGTCATTCACTTCATAATTGGAGCTGGACATATTCCATAGTTTCAACTCTCGAAGACCTCGAACCCTCCTGCAGATTTATTTTTCCATAAATTTGGTGATATCTTTTGTTTGATTTGTGTTTTATTGTTTCTGTTCACAGGTTTTCAGGAAAGACGAATTACAAAAGATGCTATCGCTGTTCCGAGACACGTCGATTGCATTGTTGGGAAACAACCTGGATCCCCTTGGCTATGAAATCGCACAGAAGTAACAGGGCACCAAAATAGAAAATACGAAATATAGATTGTGATTAAAAGAGTGGCATATAACTTAGCCAATAAGTACGAAATAAAGAAACCCTTGATGATGACTGAGTGCTTTTTGAAACGGAGGCTGTACACATTTATTTATTACCTGAGCTATTGTAATGGTATTCAGTGTTTCCTTGCATTATTATAAGCACCCAACTTCAATAGTTGCTTTAGATACTTCATGCGAGGTCTCCGGTAATGACTACAAGGGGTACGTTTCTAAAGAAATTGGGGCTACGTCGTTGGGGGAGTGTAACAAGATACTTTGGTTTTATCAACTGAGTTGTTAACGTAATTGATTTGCCACCGTAGAGAGTTTCAAAACTGACGTTTCGATCGTTAGCCCTTCGTCAGCGAAAGACGAAGGGCTAACGTTCAAAACGTCAGTTTTGAAACTTTTGAGCATTATCAACTCGGTTAATAAAACAAAACTACCTTATTTGAAATACTGTTATTCTTGGTTAGGTTTTTTTTTTTTTGCGTTGTTATGGACCGAAACGAAGTTGAAGTCCGTACAAGCTTGCTCAATAAGGACTTATTATATTGCAACATGCAAAGATTTCGCTTCAGTAAGAGTCGAGACTGACTTGGTTAGTTTTCAGCGCTGAGAAATTCATCATTTGCAGTGATCCAAGTCGGATCGCTCCTTCTCCTAGCAAACAAGATGAAGAAACTGACACACACACCTCTCTAGGCAAAACATGAAATGACGATATCATACATTACCAGTATAAAGTTCATTTCCTCTACATATAATATTAATATTCACTCAGTCTATTGAGAAACTTAACGATTGCCTAACGATATGCAGTGGAGCATTCTGACTGTATTGAGCTTAATCAGTTAGAAATTCTCTTGAAATAAGAGAGATGGATTACATGTAAAAACTATTGCTGTAACAGCATTTACAAGACTTAGATTAGGATTGTTTTCTGTCTTTCTGAGGACGAACTTCCCGTATACCACTCGGTAGGCCAGACCTTTGAGAAAAAGTTTTGGTGAACCGCTCTGTGTGTTCCTAGTTTATACCTTGAATTTTGCTCTTTTCAGTCTTTCCCGTTTTCTTAATGATGTTATCTGAGTGCTTTCCCGTTTCCTTAATGATGTTGTCTGAGTGCTTTTCTTTCTTTTCGTGAAGGCTTACCATAGCCAGTGCATTTTTGTTCACAAATGAGTGGAAGCATAGGGAAATTTCGTTATTTATCTAGTTAAGTCCATGTAATAAAAGTGCCAGCTGTTTGTTTGTAATTCTTTTCGGTACTCGGTCATATCTGCGAAAGTAAACAAAGTTTGCGTATCCTCATTATCAGTTACCTTTTTAGCTTTCTCATGACTCTATAGCAGTCTTTAATGCAGTCCTATCGCGTTGTCCAATTACTAGGATGACGTGTCACCGTCTTCTTCAAGCTTTAATCATGATCGAGCTGGTTATTCATAATTAGGAAGTAGTAAACGAAGTCAAAGTAGAAGATTGCTAGAATATTGAAATAAGTTTTTAAGGCTTCTAAAGATAAAACTTCAATTCATTTGGAGAGGATAACAATGCTTGAGAACCACAGCCGTATTCTTTAGTTTTCCAAATTTCCCATAGTTGCCATTAGTTCATAAATTTTCCACTCGACACATCACAGTTGTACCCATGTTTAGTTTAGATAAAAGGACTATCGAAGGTTGCACCATCATTCGGATTGCCATACTTGGGTAGGGCCAGTTTCTTTAAGTGGAAAATTTTCAACTACATCATCACTTGTCCCAACACTTATTCTTTTGGCTTCGTTTTGATTAGAAAAACATTCTCGTCTCACAACAGTTAACGGCGCTTGTGTTTCGTCCATCGAAACGATGGGCGAAACGGTTAACATGGTGTTGCTCTTTGACTGCTCTCTTTGATCTTTCTTAATTTTTAAGCGACAACGACGAAGCAATTTTTTAAAAGCACTCCGATAAGTGCGGTTTAAACAGGTATAAATAACTGGATTCAGACAGCTATTTAAGTATTCTAACCACTTGGCTACGTTAAGGAAACTGATAGGAATATTTGTGCGATTTGCATAAGATAAAACAACTGTAAAGAACGGGAGCCAGCAGATGACAAATCCACCAATCACAACCGCAATCGTTTTTGCGGCTTTGATATCTGTGGCGTAGTTTCTTCCTATTTGTCTGGCTTGGTAACGTGCCACTAAGTAAATCCGAGCGTACATAACCAGCATAATCGCTAAAGGGAGAAAGAAACTCAGTACGGATACGAACCACAGATAATTGGGATACGGCCATTGGTGCTCATTGCTTGAAATAAGAACCAAGCATGAAATGGTGGCAGCATAACACCACACAAAGCATATGAGACAGATGACACGCCGGGTCGTCAAGACTTTAGGATAAAGAAACGGAGACGTGATCGCCAACTGTCGATCAAAGCTGACCGCAGTCAAATTCATTATAGACGCTGTTCCGCACAGAATGTCCATGCAGTCCCAAAATTGTTTTAGCATGTCACCGTAAATCCATACATTCTGGGTTATTTGGAGAGTTAACCAAAAAGGCATGGCGATGAACGCAACCAGAAGATCGCTGATTGCTAAAGAGATGATGAAAAAGTTGCACTTTGTGCGCAGGTCCCTAAACGTGTAAAAGCTTGCAATGACGATGAAGTTTCCTCCAAGGGCAACTGGTATCTGCACCGCAACGAACAAAGCTGCTACGATATTTGTTGCTTCCGGGCTAATTTTAGTCGCGGATGTAGGTTCCGCGGTTTGAAGTGCATTTGGGGTTACGTTTGAAATATTCTCTGATGAATCCATCTCTGATTGAGAGAACAAAACAAGAAATAGTACATTGTTAATGATGCAAATTGAGTGTAATCAATCAGATGAAGCTTTCAGTTTGTGGCTTGGAGACATACCAGTTATCTTAATCGACAAGATATTTCTCTTGAGCGACAAGATACGAGAATCTACTCCTTGGATTTCGAAGAGTGTTGTGACAAGCCCCAAAGAGCTGCGATTGAGATTTACTCTTAGCCGTTTCTAAAAAATAGTGCATCGATGTGAAACTAATTAAACCAGTGACTTGAAGCATTCGCTCTAAATTTGCATGATTTTGCCGATCGATTCACGAGTAATTTATGCGTGAACAAAGAAACCTAATGTGCTACGACTGGATACACAAAGGTTTGAACCATGGTGACGGAGCGGATTCCTTTTGTTAAATTGTCGTTCAGTGGGATAATTCTAATGGATGTTAACGCTTGAAATTACTTTTCTGAAATATACAAAGAAAATAGGGTTATTGAGTTCTCAAGTCAAGATTCTCTTTGATCCAATAAACGTGAAAAATGCTACATATCGAAGTCGATTTAGCTACACGGTTCTGTTAACAACTGGATCCTGTTCCGCTAATAGCACGATATTTGTTGTTCAGAATGTTATTGTCCACTGAAGGTCACGCAAGCTCTCTGGCTTTACCGCACTTTTTCAGGCCTCTCAGTTTCACTCATCACTTTCACCTGTTTGGAGAAGTTCATTGCTGAGTTATTGAATAAGTAGTCTTCTTGCAAGCCGTTTAAAAAGGTAGAGAAAAGAAGGAATCATAACGACAAGATAAATTTCGCTTGCTTGTTTTAAAGATGGCAGAAAACTTTCTCCCACAGGAAAGTTCCCAAAACTCATCGAAATAAGTAGGATGCCTTAGTATTGAAGTTAGTTACCTCCGTCGAATAATTTGAAAAACATGGAACGCGCTCAATGTGGCAACTTTACGTTCGATTTTGATGAATTATGCGCATCGGCACCTCTTGAAATGAGAGCTTTTCTCGGCGGAGACGACTTCACATTTCTTTTTGCGAAGCACCCGAAATCACTTAAGAGCGGAACATAGAAATTTGACTTGAGTCTGCTGAGTTGATGTATCTGTTTCCAGAAACCTCGCCTGTTGAAAGGAAGGGTTTTATTACACGAGCTGAACGCTATTAAGATTGATGATATCTATAGTCAATTTGACAGGCCTAGCTACCGAACGATGAAATTTATACCTCAAAGCAGCTGTGTTATGTCTCATTTTATACTAAAGATATTGCGAAAAACGAGAGAAAATATTTTGAGAAAACCTAAATAATACTGAACACCGAAATATCCTACATGCTGAGCGCGCTACGAGGCTGTGGGCTCTTACAATACCTTGTCGTTCATGCAAAGCTCGATCTGGTGCATTTGATGTTTTGAGCTCTGTAACATAAAGACAACTGTAGTTTCATTTTTTTGCATTGATAAGTAAGGCGAACTCAGCAAACTCACACGATCTTGGGTGATTAGAACATTACTGTTGAACGCGAAAATGCTTTTTTCGGATACAGTGAAGCCTCTATTTAGGGAACACCTTTAGGACCAAACAAGTGTCCCCTGAATAAAAGTGTGCCTTGACTAGAGATTGGGTTGGGGTTTGTGAATAATTAACCAACCCCAAAAATGGTATTGAGGAACTCCCATGTATACATATCTTCTACGGCAAAAATACTTCGGTAAAGTGGCTCAGAGAAAAAATTGAAGGAAATGATTTTTACAAAGTTGACTGAAGCCAAAATTTCAAAGCGTTACTGACCCTGATGAACGTCCTTGTCACACGTGCCATGACCTGAAACTTCGTGTGTTCTGACCCTTTGACTCTGGGATAAATCATCTGAACTGTTAACCTTTGAAAACCAACTCATATGATGTACGGCATTAAAAAGGACATGTTAGGAAAGCTGTCATCATTCTGGCGTCAGTTCACGTTTTGAGTTGTTAAGGCTGATTGGCACTACTCCTTGCAAATACCATATGATCGTTGGGGAAGCTTTGGAGAAATCGAAAAAGGTCCAAACGGTGGGTTCAGACCAGCGGTCATAAAATGAGATAATTTTAGTTCCAGTCTAGTCCCAGCTGCAAGTAGACCGTTGAAGTGAAATGATTATTAAGCTTATCCGACCAATTAGACTTTCTTTGTTTGAAATTTAAAAAAAGTAAGTAAAATCATTTTGCTCATTTTGACTTGCAGATTGACGAAATCGCATTCATACACGCTCGATGGAAGTGGTATCAATAAAGCATTAACTATTGTCAAATTAATACAAGCTGGGCGTTAGTAAGTTTATGCATAAAAACATTTACTATTTTCAGTTGCAAAAGATAAACATTACTTTGGTTGATTAAACCATCTATTTTACATTTTAGTGGCAGATAGCAAATGTCGAAGTTGTTTCGAGAAACGTAAAATGTCTTTTTAGGACAAACGCAATGACAATTTCGCTGAATTAGTCGCGGTCTTGGGTGAAAATTTTGTCTTCTTATTGTGATTTGCAGTCAGTTCGAACCGACGATTCGTCCATTCTGTAATGCCGTGGAAGGCAAATCGTGAAGTATAGTTTTATTTGCTTTAGATTATAAGCCATGTCGTATTACAGTCGTCATATATTTGCTCTCCATTTATTTTGTGCGCAGTGGTTTACCAAAATGCATTCATCGCACGACAACGGTAGTTTGAGCAGCAATCTGGAAGAAGGATTTTTCTTTTTGCAATATGTTTTAATATTCTGTGGACATCTCAGCTTTTAGGCTGATGGGTTCACAGAACACGCTCTCTATGTTTTTCTCGTTTACATTCCAACTCTAATAGGAAAGTGAAAGCAAAATTCATTAAAAGCGATAATTGACAAAGTTGAAAACTTAAATTTGGCCGGCGTACGAAATGCTTCTAAAACATAACGACTCGTGCTAATTGAGGATTTTTAATTTTCATGCGCACATAGCCTTTGTTTTCCGATAAACATTTCACTAAGAGAGGAAGGTACATAGCTGGTGGCAACATATTTTAAAACCACCTACCTAACAAAACGATAGCTGCGATGTCTTTTATGTTCGTTGTTTGTTGGTTACTTTGCGTCAAAAGCCAGCTGCAAAGTAAAAGTGTAGTATAATTGATGAAAACACTAACGCACTTTGTTTACATTAAGAAACGAAAACTCCCATAAAACCTCCACACTATATCGACAATCTAAATATGAGAGACCAATGAAAACGTCAGCATAACTTTTTACGTTTGAAAGATCTCCAAACTTAAACTAGCTATAACAATTTAACCTCCCCAAGGGTAGTGACGAACTCTCTTTTCATTGGTCAGAACTTTATAATCTGTACTGGCGAAAGACTGGCTGTTGTGCATCGCACTGTTTACAGTTAGAAGGAATGCATCATTGTGGTCACAAACTTTCTTAATACCTTCACGGAGAACGAACAATATTTCGATGTAACCCTAAAGTATTCGGTTGTGCAACGAGGGAGATTATTGTGAACGCAGGCAGCACGACAAGTTGATCGACGAAAATCATGTAACAGGAACAAATTATTTCTAATGAACTGTCACAAATTGTTTCCCAAGATTACTGCTCAAGACAAGTAATTAACGAATCGCGAGAAACAGACTTCATGTGACAGGTGGGAGATAAGCAGCTATGGTTGCAAGAAGGTGAAAGAGAAAATCCGACCTAGTCGATAATTTCCTTCGTGGTTTACAAGGAAGCGGGCTCAACACAGAATTAGCTCTGGGAGCTCGCTTGAGTTCTTGGTTTTAATAAATGCAAATCCGTTTTTTTCTTCTTTCTAGTATTAATATGTTCATGATCTGTTTATTTTTCATGGTTATATTTTTTTTTTACATTTTGTCTTTTACTAAACTACTGATTTTAACTGAAAGAAGGAGTTTCTAAATTTTGAAATCAATTATTTCAGTTTGTTACTGATTTGAACTGAAAGGAGTTTCTAAAATTTGAAATCAGTTATTTCAGTTTTGTCAGCTGCCACCGAAACTAAAATTCGAAATTCGGTTGAGAGCTAAATCTCTAACAGATCTATCAGTAATGCCCTCTTCCTAGTTAAATAAAACATACCACTTTAATTTAGCCTTATTCTAAAAAAGATCAGCGAGAATCATGACATTCGACTAGAACTTTGTGGTGAGGAGAACAAAGGGAAAATAAAAATATTTGTCGACATAAAAATGCAAATACTAGTAATTGTTCTGTCTTGCACATTTACGACAAGAAGTCATTCTTAGGATAACCATAATTTTCTTTCACAATAAAGGAATAATTCACATTTGCAAAACGTTCCGAATGTGATAACAAGAATTTTTTGCGATTCAGTTAAAGTGGCGCGTCAAACCAAGGAGTAAGAGCGGCTTTCCTTCTTTGATTTTTAGGTTGCCATTTTTAACAAACGAGAAGGAATAAGAGCTATTTTTTATAAAAAAAAAAATTAAAATAAAGGTTGAAGACAACGGCTTACCGCAAGCTTTGACGGCAGCGAAGTAGCTGTAAGAGCTAGTTTTAGTGTGGAGAAATTGTGGGACATGAAAGTCATTCCTTGGTGTGCTGATATTCTACTAACAGTGACAGTTTATGAATGTTACCATTCGTTTGTTTTGGGGTTCGTTAGTAAACTTTAATCAAAGTGTTCCCGGGGTGAGAGACGTTAGAGACTCTAAACACAGTAGCTCCAGGCCCCCTTTTTTTTTTTCAGAAAACGGCAAATGGCCATAAAACCCACGCTTGGCAAACAAGGCTTACTTCGCCTATGAATAACTCATTGTATTTGTTGACTTCAACGATTGAGTCTTGGCTCAACAGGAAAATCAGTATGTGGGTAGCAAATTGTCTTTTGATCACTTTGAATAAGTCCTGCGGCAGGAAATCCCGCGTTGGTCTTCGATAGCATCGATTTTTACCACCCTGTGACTGGTTAAGGATGATCCGCTGCGTTTTCTTAGGTGCTATGAAAACGTGACAACTGAAATAACGTGAACGAAATTCACTCAGTAAAATGGCCCTAAACCGTTTCCATCTCTTTGAAAAGCACCAATAAAAAAGCACTAATAAAAGAATCACAAATTGACCGATTGATCCACAAAGGAAGTGACAGAAGTGACAAAAGATGATGAGTTATCATCATTGTATTCACCACGATGAAATCGTTAAATAATGAGGGATAGGAATGAAGACTGATGCAGCAGCCTATAGACATATGCCGTCAGATGGCTCTTCAGGTGAAAGCACAGCTCATGCTGTGCACATATTTAAGTGGAGCCGGAAGTCTGATATCCTGTGTTTGCATAGAATCATAGCTGGGTGCGATTCATTCTAAATAACATTCACAATACTTCATCGTGACACTGAAATACAGGCAAACGTTAAATTGATTCAGCATTGCTATTCAAACTTCATAATTCACATTGTAGTTTACATTTAAGCAAGAGATTAATTTCATACGTTATTTTTTGATTTTATGTTAACATCATTTGCAGACACAACATGGACGTGTACATTTATATTCTAAAAGTCTTAAATCATATAGCGGATGAAATTGACTGAACCTTGCA